AAAAAGAAATATAAAAAAGTTGAACAATGTTGAAAGTAGTGTTGAATTTTTGAAATGTTGAATATGTATATTTATTATATATATTTATATAGAGTGAAATCAGCCCATCTTATTTTTGCTTTTGTTTAATTTATTGTTCTAATTTCGTTTCAAACGGTTTTCAGCACGGCTAAAAGTCCTTAATGAACTTTAAAATTTCAGAAGTATGGCATAGACTTCATTTTATTTGTGTTGTTGCTTGTACTGTTGCTGTTAATTTGAATTATCAGTGAAGCATTTTGTTTTAATTAATTTCTCCCAATCACTGGCGTGCAAATATGTATATATATATATATATATATATATATATATATATATATATATATATATATAATTTTTAAAACAATAAAATGTCTAATTTTTCTGACATTAATAAATTAAAAAGAAATATAAAAAAGTTGAGCAATGTTGAAAGTAGTGTTGAATTTTTGAAATGTTGCGTTAACAACAGTCTGTTACCAAAAAAAATATACATATACATATATGCATACATTATTAGTAGTATAGTTGTATAGCTTCTTTTATAAAACCAGAGGCTTTCGCAAAGGCGCCTTTCACGATACAAAGATTATGAAACATAAGGTATAAACAATAAACTCAACAGATTAACAGTTTATGAAATATCATCAATAGGTTTCTTCGACTAAATAATGCAATATTTTCTAAAATCACAAATTCAACTTTAAGAAAGCTGTCCTTTTCTGATAAGGAAGTAAAAAGTTGTCCACTTTTGACATTGTTGCCACTGTTGTTTGGCCATTTCGTTCGCGTTTCATTGGAGATTGATGTTTCTTTTGAAGGACATTCTCCAATCAACACATCTTCTGATGTGATGACGTCAGCATATTTTTCATCATCACATAATCACATCACATCATCACATAATCTTATTGCGGTGGATGGATAAGCATCTCCAGGTTTTCGTCTTTTTTAAATGTGAGAATGCGGTATATCGCTTCAACACCTATTAATACGCGGTTTTCCACTGAGTTGGTTTGTGAGTTATTTATCAACAGAGCTCAACTTGTCACATAGCAAAATAAAACTTCTTCTACTTAAAAATTTGCCATGGCGCTCCTTGGTCCGTTACTGTTTGTCATAATTGTTAATGACCTACCGAAAGCATCCATGTTTTTTGATTACATATGTTATGCAGACGATAAAAACATTTCTAGCAAAAATAAAAATATAGATGAGTTAGTAATACAAACAAATAAAATTTTAAAAACATGTTGTCGCATGGTTTAACAACAACAAATTAACTTTAAATACTAAGAATATTAAAACAATTGTAATTGGGCCAGAACAATGCTTAAATTACAAAGAGCCGTACAAGATCATTATCAATAGGCAAGAAATTTTAGAAAGTAAATCTATCAAATTTTTTGAAATTTTTTTTTATCAAAAGCTAACTTTTCGCAATCACACTCATTACGTATCCAGCAAACTTGCTAGAGCGATTGGTGTCATCAATAAAATACGTCACTTCGTACCAACAATAACATTGAACACACTATAAATCTATGTTTGTCACATGTTTCGTACTGTAACAGTTTGGGCAGGTACACATTTGACGATTACTAATCCCATCAAGACGTTGATGAAAAGAGCAGTAAGAATAATCACCTTATCAACAAGACGTTCTCACAGTAAGCCTTGATTTATGGCTACCAAAAACATAAACTTTGATCAGATAAACAATTATCTCTCAGCAAATTTTGTTTATTAACAGCTCACTGGAATACTACCCGCAAAGATTCAACAATTATTTTCTACATCTTTGTAATAAAAGAAAACAAAACTACATCAGATCAAACAAATCCAAAACAAATATTCTATTTCATCACATAATGCGTAGTTGACCAAGAATCTGGAATCAGCTGTTAAAATCTGACTCTCATCACGATTCAACATCACCTTCCGAATTTAAAAGAAACCTGACATCCTCATTGCCAATTTATGAACGTGTCAATGTGTATGGATGTGCTTGTGAGTGAGTATGGATGTTTGTGAATGAGTATGCTGTGTGTGAGTAAGATATGTGTAAATTTTCATTTTTCATTTAAATGTTGTAATTTGGAACGAGGAAATTTAACATTTAATTTTTTCCAGTTAATATTTTCCAGTTGTTTCTTTTTTGTTTGTCTTGAAAACAAAAGCTTATTTAATTTTTGATTGACTTTTTGCAGAACTTTGACAATTTATGTTCCAGGTAGTTGTGCTAGATGAGTTCTTCAATGGACTCTGTCACAATCCTCTTGTCTTCTTATCATTATGTTGTATCATAATTTGGAGGAAGTTAAATATTGTATAGTATTGTAAAAGACTACACCTAAAGCCACACACGTATTAACGTTGCTTGCATGACATATTTTTTATAAATAGTACATTTTATCAATCGTCATTTCCGATTCACCCGGAGCTAGGGTGCCAACAATTATCACAATTCGACGGAAATTTTCAACACAACTTTCTTCGTACCTCGCTTTTTACTTTAAACCATTCTGCAGCAATAGACTTATAATATTTTGTAACGATTTGTTAGTCAAAATATTTAGATTATTAATATTATTTTTAGTAATATTAATATTTCATGGTGTTGATTAAACCGGTAAATCAAAAATAGCCTAGTCGTTGCATTTGTTTTTTTTGTGTGTGCTGGTGTTGTACGTTTTTACAAGCGTTAATTTGTTCAACTGCTAGCCTTTATA